AAAGAGAAGCTCTTTGAGTGTGAAGTGTGCCAACTTCTGCTCCAAGCACTAAAACAGCTCAAATCCTGCTTGGTGGGGGGAGAGAGAGGAAGAGTCCCTGGGCTGTGGCTGCCTTTTTCAGAGTCTGTTTTGGCAGCAATGTGATCAGGAGTAAGGGCTGCAAATGTTTCTGCTTTGGACTCAGTGACTGGCAGGGTAATGCAGCTGGATCTCTGAAAAGTTGTTCTCTCATAGTACCTAATAAACTCCCAGGTGTTATACAGGGAGCCCACCTTTGTGAGATCAGCACATCATTGCAGTCGCTGTGTGCCCTGGCTAATTCATAAACCAGACTTTGTGCTTAGTTAGGTTGTGAATTTAAAGGAAAACAAAGAATCACCTCAGTTTCCTTGGCCTCCAAACTTGGGGCTGGTAAAGGCTCCTAGTCTGACAGGCCTAGATGTAGGACTCTTGGGTTGGGTAGTAGCTTTACCAGAGCATCATGCCTATGTTTTATCCTGGCTAGGCTTCAGCCAGGGAACAAAAGGATAATTCCTTCTCTGTGCCCTAGCAATGCTCACAGCCACCTCTGCTTGTGGTGGCAAGGACTTCCCTGTGGGTTCTATCTGCCTGTGTCACAAAGGCCACCAAAAAGCCATGAATGATTAGGTTGGATCTGAAAGGACAATGTAGCAATGAGAGACACTTATCTTCTTATGAGTCTCCTCTGCCAAACTGGGTTGGCACAGGCACTAAGGTCTACAGCTGACAACCCAGAGGTTATAAGTTCAAGGTCATAGCAGAAGCACTCAGTGTGGCCTGTCAGATTCCAACAAAAATTTACAAATTCTGCCAAATATCTTGTCACAGGCACATGAAAAAGGAAAGCTAATCTAGGAAACCTGGACAGACAACTTGGGCTGCTGTGGAAGAGGGGGTTTCTATGCCCTCAGCAGCTATTGTATTTCAGGCTCTCTCCTGACATGTCTAGACATGTCAGTAGTGCAGTACCTAGAAAGTGAAATAATGTGGAAGAACCAAGTCTCTCATCCTCTCACAACTAACATGTTGTCAGTAACCTCCACGTAACCCAGCCACTGAGCTTCATGTGCTCCTCATGGTCAAAGGCTGTCTTAGCTTAAAGAGGAGCTAGCTCAGATACAAACAGCTGAAAAAATAATGTATAGTAATCCAGTCCCAGAAGCATCAGGAAGAGTCCAGGAGGGTCCTCTAGTGCTGCCAGCTCCAGTGGTTTAATCATAAGTGTCATGGTGCAGGGTCCCCAGGGATGGCTGTGATCCCCTTAGGGCTCTATAACTGTGCCAGCTTCACCTTGTGGGCACTTTTTAGTCTTGCCAGCCACATCTTGTTGCTTTAGATAGATTGTGGAGCAGCTTGTGGGCAGCCTCCCTGTCACAGTCCTGATGGACCCCACTAAACCCCATGGGTCCTTGGGCCCCTTGCTGGGTCCTGCTCTAAGCAGGTGCCTCACAGGACACCCCAAGCCTTATGGGCTAGATGCATGGCTCCAAAGCCACACTTTTACCATGCCCCATGCCTCACAGATAGTATATCAATGTCATCCCTGTAATAAGGTCTTAGCCTAGTTCAGCCTTCTGTTATCACTGGGCCCCTTCCACTGCACCCCCTGGTGCTGGGGCTCTCTGCAGTAGTGCACCCCAATGAGGCCTCCTCCTCCCCAGTAGCCTCAGCTCAGTCCACCAGAATTAAACCACAACATAAATACAAGCCGCTACAACCTAACAATGACCTTGACAGTGTTAGGCTACCACTTAACAATGACATTGGAAGCCACAGTCTGCATCTTTAAGAGGGCCAGTTTCTCCCTTAGCAATGCATGCCTCCTACCCCCAGGTACTTTAGGAGTTCCTAGAACCCCATTAGTCTTACCAGCAGCAGAACAGGCAACCAAGCAGCTCCACA